GAGCTTTCTTTCCATAAATTTTTATATTCTTGAGTTTTATTTTAACAACATTTGATATTTGATCAATGTTATTCACATTATGATTTAATTTTATTGTTTTATTGTGGCCCATTATATTTTCTATATGTTTTACCCAGCTAGAATTACTATTAAGTATAAGGTTATCATTAACATATAGCTTTGTAATGCACTGTGTATTTACTCAGTATTGTGTAGTTATATAACACAAATTTTATGGGAGTGATGAGTTGCTTCAAGGTCAAGGTATAATATGGTTGATCAATTCAAATCTTCGTATACCCTGCAGCATAACAGGTTCCTAGCAAACAAGGCTTTAAATTACAAAGAAAACGACTCATTACAAAATATGATTTTTAATGAATGTGTGTTGAGAAGATATGAAAATTAGTTATTACAAGATTACTATTTAATATGTAGTAATCGTTCATGTTTAAAAAAAACATGCCTCATTTACTTTTGAAAATTAGCGGAAAATCATGGCCTCCAAAATAAACAGAAACCAGAAATTGATCATTATTACTCATGATTGAGCAATTGGCCATGGATAAGTCAGTTCAACCTTAAATAACTTGTTAAATACATCTATACCCAGGTATGAGCATGACTGCACGTACAAACAGTGTTGAAATCATAATTTTTTTTATAAAATCAATACCAAGCTAATATCTCAATTGAAAAAATTACTGCAAAATTGGTAAGCAAAACTAGAGACAAAATGTTAGGTGTTGCACGACACATCGGAAGATTCTGTATTCACATTCATTGACCGTGGCAAACACTTAATATACATAATTATTCCTCACAACAACAACAATAACAGAAACCAGAGTTTTGGCAGAAAAGAAGAATAGTTTTATTCAAGGTATCAGATTAGGTAGACAAAAAAATCTAGATAGAAGTACTGTAAAATAAACACTCGAAAGCAAGAACACGAATAAAACCAAAAGCACAAACACTAACCTCATGAATAAAACTTAGTTGCCAGGTATGATATCTGTAAAATGTTTACAATGAACAGACTCAAGTGATAAATTTAACAAAAATAGCAAAGTGATTTCAAATAATACACAAAATGACAAAATAAACAAATTATGAGGAAGGGTAGGGACAATTCAAAACTAAATTAAACGACTGACTTGCTGGAAACAAAGGATGTAACTACAAAACTGACGTATGCGCAAACACACAAGTAAATGGCGTGAATAATTAAACTTTTTGAAATGAATACAAAATTACAAAATATTTTATTATTTACAAACATGTCATTGATCACCTACTACATGTTTAAAAGTCTTCAGCAGTACTATACAGCATATAGCATCTCCTGAGATGTATCTGTGAAAACTGACGCTTACACAGTGTTAACAGTGGTAGAGGGTTCAGACCTATGTAGCTCAACCTCACCAATTGAATGTTGATATAAATATTCCAAATTTATGCCACTGTCTTTGTTTATATATTCAAGACCTCTACTCTTTAAATACACACAAAAGGTTTGTTGCAAATTTAACATATACCATTGATGACGCAGCATAATAGTTAATTATCCCCAGAAATCCTTGAGATGTCAGACCAGCATATAAAATATACCCAGGTATATCACAAATTGGATGCAATCAAGTTCCATTAAGAAATCTATGATAGTCATCAATTTATCAATTGGTGGTGGTCTGTTATAATCAATGGTTTGAGCAGTTATCAGTTGTCTGGCGGTCAGTTAATTGTGTTGTGTAGTGGTTATAGGTAATCAGTGGTCAGACTGGTGGTCAGTTGTCTTGTGGTCAGTTATAATCAATGGTTTGAGCAGTTATCAGTTGTCTGGTGGTCAGTTCACTGTGTTGTGTAGTGGTTATAGGTAATCAGTTGTCAGACTGGTGGTCAGTTGTCTGGTGGTCAGTTGTCTAGTGGTCAGTTCACTGTGTTATGTAGTGGTTATAGGTAATTAATGGTCAGACTGGTGGTCATACTCGTAGTCAGTTGTTAGGTGGTCAGTTAATTGTGTTGTGTAGTTGTTATAGTTAATCAGTGGTCAAACTGGTGGCTACATTTTGTATGCAGTTGTTCAGTACTTTAATAGTTATTCAGTGGTCATTCTGGTAGTCAGTTAATTAATGGTCAGAATGGTGCATGGTTATCGTTAAACCGTGCCTTTGACTATATGAAAGTAAAGATGGTGAACAGATTTCAGTATGCAAATTGCACATACTCCATGATGATAATCCTGCAAAACTACTGTTTTTTGGTGATCACAACTGTACATTGAATACATGTATTTTATTTTTCTGCCCTACACAATCATACTCAGTATGTAGGATATGACACTAGTACATACATGTAGTTGGGTAAATTTAAGCACAAATTATTAAACTATTAAAGAAGGCAATGTACATAAATTCACCTACAGATTTAATGTAATGTTAGCACACAGAAATAACACTCAGTAACTAACGTTTCTATATACAAAGTAAGCAATGAGTGGGCCATTCAATTAAATTGTATTCCTTATTATTAGTGCATTAATTAGTGGTCAGACTAATGGTCAAATAAACAATAGTCAGAATGGTTTAAAGAGCTGTATTCTATCATAATGCTACAGATATGTGGTTCATTCATTTTAGTGTAATCTTCACTTTGGGAGGGCTGTGTAATTCTCAAATAATAATTTTTGATGATGAGGGTGCAGGACTCATTGTGCTCTAGGTCACTGTACATCTTTTCAGTTTTTTTTTTTCTTTTGCTAATTGCAAGTGCATGTGTTTCTCAAACCTATGCCTGTAATACCCTGTATTTGCAAGACTGGAAAAATTTCTGATTTATGCTGCTAAGTGAACAGCTGGCCTTGTGCAAACAGACAGACTCCATGCTAGATTCAAATTGAATGTCAATAAGATATGAGTGTTCTATGCTGTGGTTTGTATGACTCTTAATTAATTAATTAATTAATAAATAAATAATTATAATTACACATACATGTACATGACCAAATATTTAAAAATAACTTACTGTAAATTTCTTAACTAAATGAAAGTAATTATCTAAATAAAATCATGAATGTAAAAAAAATATAATTACAAAGAAATGCTTTGATCATATAGTTAAAAGATGATATCAGAATTCAGACATGTCCCTCTTTCAACAGTAAAGCCCTCCTCCTTGCAAAATGGTTTGTTCCACCTTGTTTTGAGGCTGTAATTATGTGTATTTAACAGCCACACATATCTTATTTCCCCCCTCTAATGTGATCATATGATTACATGCAAGTCTCTCTATACCCATATATCACATTTACCTAATCTGATATCCGTTTTTGCCTGTGTGTGTATATATAAATGATTCTGCTTTTATACTATCTGTGATACTGTTTATTTGCCTGCATTGTTCAACTTACCTGTCCTCCCCCACCGATCATGGTGGTATAATCTAATCTTTCTGGTGTTTAGTTCAGTCAGAATCTCTACCCTAATTTTGCTGTTTATATTTAAATCACATCTATATTTACTACAGCATCAATATAGTTGAAAATATGATGATTCCTTTTTTTAGTAGTGGTAAATATAAAAGTACAAATAAAAGTAAATATATTAAGTATGTTTAATTAACTATCACTGCATTTCTCGTCTATTGTAATACAATTTTTTTTTCCGCACATGCTCATATTCAAATTTCATTGGTTGTTACTTTGCATGTAATTAGTTTAATTACTATATAAGGAAATAGGATGTAACTGTTGTGTTACCTGATTGGTCAATTTTTCGAATTAGCATAATGAAGACACTATAATTAGATTTCCTTCTATGTGATTGGTAGATTGATTGAAAGCCCATGTCTCATTCAGTCATGAGTGAATTGTGAAACCAACCTTCACTATGTACTAGAGAGCAGGTAGGCAAAACTGTCAGCTATATGACTGATAACAAAGATCACGTCACTTGGTACGTTTATAAGTGTGCATGGTACTGCTTTCCAAAGTCAGACAACCTATCCAGATCAACCCAGGTTTCACTACTACATCTATAGATGCAATAGAATTACATTACAGCTGGGTATTTCAAAGTACATTACCAGGTAATTTTTTTTCATTATCCATTATGGCGTTTTCCATATGAGAGATTTTTTTTTTCTATTATCATTATTATTAATCTCAAAATCAATTTTCTGCAATTTCCTAGTATTCTGACATTCAGCCGCAGCTTCCATTCTCTGCAATCAATCGTTTATTTTGAACTTTGCAGATGTGTAATTTAAGATAGATGACATATTTCATTTTATTTGTCAATTTTTTTGTCAAAAAGTGTATTTGAAGAATATTTGTTGTCATTTTTATCATTACTATCCTAAAAAAACAGTAAAATATACTATTTATATACTATGCTTTGATGTAAATTTATCGTAGTATTTTTGTAAGCTGCTTTAATTTCATTTGACAAATTGCCCATATAAGGGGAAGGTCACTAAATACCAAGCTGTATAGATGTCAGGGTTCCCAACAACAGGCAGTCACAGCAACTTTCACAAAAATTTGTTCTCGCGAATCTTCTGAAGTTGTGAAAACACAAACATGTGTATGTTTCATATTTTACTGAGCATTGAATATGTGCTTCATGCCAATTTGATTAACTGTGTATGCCAAATTTATTATTAAATGTTTCATCCATGTGATGTGTGGGATGAAAAATTGGTTCATTGAATCAAGTAGGGTATTGTTACCTTCTGACAGATTTATCATATTACGATGTACAGTATTTTTGTTTTTCAACTGGATCAGGTTTTAGCTACCGGTATATTTAATACTTCATATCTATATTTACAGATACCTACGTATTGCCCAACCTCGTAACACTTTGGGAAGTGCGCCCTCACATCAGGGCAATAATTTCCTGTATCACGTCTGGCCCAGCGCGTTGACTCTCATCATTCAAAACAAATTGTGCCATTTAAAATTACGTTGTGTGTTTGAGGTCAGTAAAATTGAAATTACACGGGATTTGGCTTTTGCTGCCCTAAGCCCTACGGCTTATGCCTCCTCACAAGATTGGGCGCTTCTGCGCACGAGCTCAGGTCTAAAATACGTTGTTTGTTTCCATGAAATTCAAACATACGCTTTTAAAAAAGAAAAGCTAATTTACATAATAATATAATATGCATAATAATAGGCAATTCTGTGTAACATTAATTGGCAGTACTAGTGCTACCAATTAAATTGAATGCACTAATTAAACTCTTTGAATGCCATCATTTTACCAATATTTTGGTGTATTACATTTTGTACATGTGTTTTTTTTTAAATTGGTCAAATATTTTGGACTACACTGACATAATTTCTCATCACTTGCTAGTCTTGATCAAAATTTTTGCATAAATATGAAAAATAGTTTTGTAAAAGGTCGTAATCAAAAGCGATTGTACTGATGTTTTGAATAATTGACAAAAAAAAAATAAAAACTAGTCTGGTGATCATTTTGAATTGAAAATTTGCAAAATGTGTGCAAATAACTAGTCACTGGGAGGAAATCGCCATAAATAGAAGAAATTTGTGCATTAAAAGTATGACCTACCTTGTCATAGTTAGTGTGCTTCCATAAAAACATTAACAAAATTTAATGTAATTCATTCAAAAATTGTTGTGTAATGATTTACATACATACAACTCATTCATATTTAAACTTTTTACTGAGAAAGAAGAATGTATTTTCAAGAAAACATATGCAAAATATTCCAAAATTTTTACAAAATTATTCATAAGAATCTATGTAAACACAATATTCTGAAGATAATTTTCGAATTTTTTGTAACAATCATATGTAGCCCTTTTAGTCATATTGCTTTTAGTTTTTGATCAAAAGGTTTGTAAATTGTTATCAACATTTCTATTGGGAAGAGCAGACAAAATCATTTTGTAGATATATGGTACCAAAGTTGGCAATGGTGCTCAAAAGGTTAAATTTTCTGAATGCACATGTCAAAGGTTAACGTTACATAATTACACACAAATTGAATTGACTGTTAAAACCCATCAAAATCTTATCATCTACTTTCAGTATCAAGATATATAGCTTTAGTTATACATTCGTACTTCACTGTAAACACTGCTGTGAATACTAAAGTCAATTCGGATATAAAAAATGAGGGAATAAATACACCAAGGCCCTTAGGCACTGAGTCTTTGACATCTTGTTATTGGCAAAATTGAGGTTCATGAAAGATGTCACTGTGTACATGTATATGCTACATACTGTACATATGATAGGGGTTGTGGAACTATATGGCTTAATCTTGATTACCAAATTGCTATTAGCAAAATTAGTTCTAATAATTTATCCATGATCATTTGGTTTAATTAGACCATTTCAGATAATCATAATTTTGTTTTAAATTATTTATTAGGTTGTATCATACCCATGTCTTTTGAGATACACTTGTCTTGGTGTCTGTAATCTATATTTTTCATCAGTTATTACTGACGTACTGGTGTGAATCAACAGATTTTTCATATATTTATGCACAGTCTTTCAGTGCATGCAGTCATTGATTTCACAAGAGATAAATCAATTTCTCTCTCTGTTCTTAAAAGTTTAATTATTTACACGTATTGAACAAAAAATCACATGTACCAGGAAGAACAGTTTATATTTCTGAAGTTTATTTAATGACTTTTCACACATTGTGATTTCGGTGAGAATTTGTTTCATTTGTAATTGCCTATTGCCATAAAAAGCCATTATGGATATTGTATAGTTTTTAATGTATCTTTAATTCACTTTATATGATATTTTCCATCTTGATAAAAATAATACAGTAACTGTAAACCACAAATTTTTCGCAAGGCTGTGAAAAATGTGAAACTTTTTGATAGTGAAAATTTGTATGTTCTAAGAGTGTTTTTTAAGTGATTTTTGCAAAATTTTACTATTTTTTCAAATGCCATTAAATCTGAAATCTCAAAAATTTCTAGCATTGAAAATTTTAATTGTTTTCACAGTAAGATATAATTATCGTAAAACAAAAAAAATATTGTTTCAGCGTCAATCATATTAGTCTTTATTTGTTAAAAAAATGAAGACACTAATGTGAATTACCTGTATACATGTAGGTAAATTTAGTGTGCATCAGTGTTTTCATTTTGTCATTGACTTAACACTGCTATGTTTGCTGCTAAAAACATTTTGTAATTTCATAATTTCTGGTCAATTTTTTACAAAATTAATGCGAGCATAAAAATTGCGCTTTTTTAAAATTTTATCTGGAAATTGAATGTTTCTTCCATTTTTCTTCTGAAATCGAAAAAGATATTTCTTAGTAGAAAAGCTGTGAAGTGAACTAATTTTGAAACATTTACTCTTTTTCCTGTATATTTTTTTTATCAGGATGCAATCAAGCAAATGTATTTTACAGTCCTCAACTTATTCTATACTGCCACTTTAACCTTTCTCTAATTTGAGGTTGTTTTCAAAATTGCATCATTTAGGTAGATCTATATCTTCATTCTATCAGTGTATCACATACTCAGTCTAGTATATTAAACTTATTGATTGCAATATCTCTCAATACCGACAAGTACTCATTTGATGACCAGATGACTGAATGTCAATCATTTTAATTTAAAAAAATCATTATAATCAAGTATCAGCTTTTAGATCTTTTATTTTTCAACTATATTACCCATTATAAACTATCTTAAACAAAACTACATGTATCTATCTTAAATTTGATATCTAACAGGGACTGTGCCATGTTTTACTCTAATCCACAGTGTAGCATGCATCAATGTATTTTATTATCATGAGACCTTGATATGCATCATATGGGTCTGACTTGATATTGTCAGTCAACTGGTGGCTTTAGTTTTCAGCAAAGCTATTCAAAGCCATGTTTCTTGGTGACAGTCAGGTGTGTCTGTTTTTTTTTTCTACTAAGTCATATTTTTTTGGCTCAATGAGTAGCATATGCTTTTTTATGTAAAGTACATGTTTTCTCTGATCAAAATTAGTTGTATTATAATGATGTAGCGTGTTTTATGTGTCTTTTTATCAGAGATGTGCTAGATCTGTTATAGCAAATAGCTATGGTATACACGTGTCAAGTATTCATTTTGAAATTATACTAATACATGTCTAATACATTCTCCTGCTGGTATTTTATAAACCAGTTCAATACTGTGTAGCATGAAACAAATGGGGAATGAAACAAAGGTTTGAAATTATTTTTTGATATGTCATGAAATCACCTACATGGGGTTTGTATAGATGTCAAGTAAATAAATAAATCTTCATATGTATGCTGTCACTTAAAGCAAATATACAGAAATCATGTTGACATACCAGGTAACTAACTTACCTGTATTTCACCCAGTCGAGTAATCAAGGAAGTAAAAGATCTTATTCAATCAATTATTTAAAGCGGAAAGATCGTCACCTGCGAATGTGTGGGAATTGAGTCCCAAGTGACGATAACAACACGCGCTTGTTTGTAAACAATGACACGCTATGACCATCTGACGCATGTGCAGTGACAACTCCCCCACTTCAAAAGTCCGAATGCAATCAATTTTAAAGTACCATAAGTATATTTATATATAAGTATTTGTTGGATGAGCGGTTTTAAAATAATGTTTCTAGTGATGTTGAAAATAAAAATTGGGTAGATAAAAGTTTAACTTTTTGTTTTGTCACATTTTTTTTATTTTAATTAATAAATAATACAATTGTTGTTCAATGTATTGTGTATACATGAGTGATTGTCCAGTGGAATGTTCAAAATACATTATGTTGATAACCCATTTTGGCAATACATATTTCTAAGACTTATAATACACCTACGTGTCTGCATCATCAATGTGTTTTTTTATTACCACAAAAGTCGTAAAAATGCAGTCATGCTCCTTTAATGCTAAGACGGCTGAAACAAGGTGATAGCATTTGTTGAGTTTCAAAACCAGAATTTGTCTGAAAAGCTTTTAGGAGTTACCTTGTTGATGCTGTAAAACACTGAGAACGAGATAATGCAGTATAGAAAGTGTTGAGAGATTTGAAGTAGAATAAAAATAACATACATAAAAGCATGTGATG